AGAGAGGATGGGAGGGGGGGGGAGAAGGAAGGGAGGGGGTGGATCGGGAGAGAGGAGTGGTAGAGGGGGAGGGGGAAGTAGGGTAGAGGGGAACGATGGAGGGAAGATAGTAAGTTGGAGGGGGGGCGGAAGAAAGAGGTGTATGGAGAGTGGAAGAGGTATATTGGGTTTCTATTTGAGTTTGAGTTTTATTTTATTTATATTTCTGGGGGTATTGTTGACAAGAGGAATTGCTGTGATTATTGTTTAATGTTGTATGGCCCCGGTTATGCACAGTATACATGTGACTGTATGAAAATGAAAACTGGAAAATAAAAACATTTTAACGGGAAAAAAAAAGAACAAGGAAAGAAATAGGTGCGTATCGCAGTTTTTACATGGGAACTGGGTCCATCGTACATCATATCGCACCTCATTATGGCGGGAACTTCTGCGCATCCTTCGCGCAGCTCGGGTTCGGCCATTTTTAAACTGCGGGAACATTAACAGTTGACGTTGAGCCGTGGAGCTCAACGCCGGAGAATTGCAGTGTTATCTAACGGTTAGACAGTCTTGTGAGGCGTGACACGGCGTGAATATACTGCACTTATTAAAGCATATGTTTTTTATGAGGGGTACTCAGCATTACGAAAATTATAGAAGGGGTACACATATGTCAAAAGTTTGGGAAACACTGCCTTAAACAATGGCATCTTATGGGATCTAGGAAGTGTGTCTTTTCCATGGCAGTCCCTGCCCTGTGGAAAACCCCTCCCCTTGAAGTTTGGTAGGCATCTCCCTCCCTTCCCAAAAGCACTTAAGACCTGACTATTCACCCAGATTCTGGGACAGGGTGAAGTAGATAATAGGATTTAACAATGGACCTGATGGAGAAGCTTACCTTTGGTACCAGATTTTTTTGTTTATGGCTTTAATAGAGGCATGCATTATGTGGTTTTATTATTGGCGTTATTTTAATTTTTGGCTGGGAACTGCCTAGAGTTTGATGTAAAATGGCAGTTATATAAAAGTTTTAAATAAATAAAATTACATCACAACTTTGTTAATCTACTTAGATGGTTATCAAAGATCTACAATAAATGGTATTACAATAAATTTTACCATTAGCATCTTTCCAAATATCGTTTGTAAATTATTACAATTGTAAATGAACATAAAAGGAAAAGCAGCATACCCAGATGGCCAGATTATTTCATTGTGAAGTACACAAATCTGATGCATCTTTCTTCCACATTCAATACATTCAACAAATCTAGAACAGAAAAGAGCCATAAGCACTCAAAAAATAACTATTGTGATTAAAAAAATGTTTCAGGGATAAAGAAATTATGCAATGTGGCAAAATCTATTTAGTCTTTAAACCTATAGAGTTTTGTATATGTATCTTTAATCAAAAATATATAAAATGTATCTTGAAGTACAAAATATCATTTAAAACTGAATTGCTACCTCACATATTTGAGATATGAATTCTACACTGTGCCATAAAAAAGTAGCTCAAGCTCCAACATGCCTTTATACAGTATGTTTACAAGTATACATACAGTATTCTACCTACTTACATATATAACAGAAGAGGGAAAGATGAATCAGTCTTTAAAAAAAACCTAATTAAATATTTAAGATGAAAGGAAAGTTTCAAAAATGGATCCTCCCTTAGCAATCAGAATTAGGACTGGAAACACCATTGCTAAAAGATGTTAACAGTTAAGAAAGCATCACCATGCCAGATTTATATCAGTTCCTTTGTAATTAAGCAATCACCCATAGTTGGTGAGACATGTGATTACAACTTGGAATTTTAATGCTGATTTCTCCATTGCTTGCTTGTCACAAGCCAGCTATGAAGTTCATATAGGATGGTGAAATGGGCTATAAATTTGTACCGACTACAAAGTGTCCAAATGGCAATCATAAGTGCAGGACACTGCAATTACTTTGAAGACTGATTGTTCAAACTATTAACTATGATCAGTTACTCAATAGGCCAGTCAACTGAGGACTATCTGTATTATCAAATATGAATAAAGCAATCAATAGTTTTCAGTCCCAAAACCAAAATAAATGAGCAAGAAAATGATAACACGTTTGTTTTGTTCTAAAAATAGAAATTTAGTGGCTCAAGTATCACTTACTGTTCTGGATCCAGTGTATCATTTTTTCTTTTTGAAAACTGATCTTTATTTATTGTGCTGAGGAGAGAAATGGGCAATTTTAGTTTATGAAGATGGACATTACCACAATAAAACAATTTTAGATATGCAGCAGACACATCTACCTTTAAGCAGGATCTTCTAAACATACTGTTTTTTAAGAATGTTTTGGGAATAAAGGAAAGGTATGAATTTAACAAGATGTTATAGTATCCCAAGCTAATATTTTCCAAGAAGCAACCGGTGGATTTAGACAAGGGAAGCTCTATGGTTCCGACCTGAGAAAGTACTCACATCATTTAACAATCTGGCAAGAAGCTCCAGAAGATTTCTTCCTAATGAAGCATAAAAACCACCTATGTTTGTAAACTACCTATCTCATGGCTGGGAGAGGTATAGAACACATTCATTTTCAAACATGTTTGGTTGCTTAGCACAACCAATTGGTTACATCAATCAGACTTCTTTATTATTTTACATTTCTTGACAGAGAAGTCAGGGCACAGTTATCCATACACAACTCAAGTTAATTTGTTATACAAACTAAACCAGGAATGCCATAATTTATACTTTTTAAAATTTTTATACAACATTAGTACACGGTAACTGTGTGAGGTTCAGAAATTCCAGTGGATCCAGAATTTCTCATGATTACCATCACATAGAAATCATTATAACTGTAAGTCTTGAGAGCTAACTAGTAACAAGCACAATTTGAACCAGTGACTTAACCTCTATGGCCTAAAATAAAAGCTATCTGAAAAAATGTTGAAAGTCCTTTCTAACAGATAAGTACCTCCAAAATCAGGACTTCTAGCAGGCAGTAAAACTCAGATTACAATCGTTGCCTCAGCAGGATTGTCTGGTTAGTTTCCTATCACCTTTTGACATTGGTAAACTCATTTTCTGGAAAATATTTACCATTTCAGAATTCAACCTAGTTTACAATTATGTCTGCTAAATTTGGTATAGTTGTATAAGTATAATCTTTATTATCATTGTACTTAAATACAACGAAATTGGTTACAAAAATTACAAATTACAAAAATATAATAAAATAGCTTATAGGCAACACAGCGATAAAGAGTTTAGCACTTTCTATGAACTGAAAAGTTATATAAAGGAAGAATTTGTTTGTTAGAAGAGAAATATACACCTTGCTAAATGTTTATTGCAGCTGTTTTCCTTTTCTCCAGTAAAATAAAAAAGGATTAAACAATTTACAGTCCCATCCATTTCTTAACATTTAAAGTTTATTATATCATTACATTTTAATTTTGTTTTTTATAAATGTAATATTGCAAAAGATAGTTATTTCAAGACACCACCTATGGAAAATTCACAGTACAATAGAAATCTTGACACTACTGCTTTGCAGAAAATCATTGCTCAATAACTAATACATTTATTATGACAAAACTAGTAGAAAAATAGCACTTGAAACTATAAGAATGAGGCCTTAACTTTAGAACTTGTAGATCAATATTAAAAAAATGAGATAATTTAAACAAAATGTAGTTATATAATTATTTCAGATCTAAGTTTTTCTTTGAACTTTGTTACTTTAATATGACCCTTTTTTGTACAGCAAAGTCATTTTAGTTATAGAATTAAAAACTTTAGTATTAGATGCATTTATGCACTTTCCATATATACTTAATGAAAAAATTCTTATTCCACCTTGTTCTGAAATTTTAAAATAAGAATTTGTTCTCACTTGGAGGTTTATCTTCTTAAGTAAAACTTCTTACTGAAACATGGCTTTTTCAAAAATTTTTACAGGGGTGTCAAACTCGTGGTGTTAAGTCATTATGTAACGTATCGTGACTTTTTCCCCCTTTGCTAACCTGGGGGAGGGGGGTGGTCAGTGCGTGATGCATCTGGCCTGCAGGCTGCGAGTTTGACATCCCTGATATAGAATGATAGGTTTGTTAATAACATAATTGTAACTTCTGAGAGTTAAATATTATTAAAGAGGACACAATTACTCACGTTTGTGGTTGTGATGGATCATCCCCCAAAGAAACGCTTTCCCCTTGGATTTCATTGAAGCACTTCTCACAGAAATGATACCTGTCGGCAAGAAGGCCATATTTGGGTGAACTGTTCCGTCCACACAACACAGCCCAAGCCAAGCAACGAAGTCACCAATCACAGCAGGCCAAGGAGGGGGGCGGGAGCAGAGAGCAGGTCATCAACGACGACAGGGACATTCAATGATGAAGATTTATGGGACCCAGAGTTTGATATTGGTTGTTTTGTTTTTTGTTTTTGTTTTTGTTTTGGGTTGTTTTTTTGCAATCAAAGCCAAGTGCAGACAACGACAAGCATGAAGGAGAAATAAAAATATACATACAAACAAAGAAATGGGGTTTTCAGGACAAAAAACAAAAACACAGAAGCAAGACAGGACAACACAAAGCAGAAAGCCAAGGCAAAGCACAGATTAGCATTAAATCTCTCAAATGGGGTTACAAGCAGCAAATTATAGCAAACAAAATATATTTGGTTAAGTATACCCATGCTCAATTACCAATCAAAATGAAGAAAAAAGAAGAATTGCAACTGCTGCTTTGGCAGCTGCCTCAAGTTAGCAACTTTCTTCACATCTAATATGAAAAAGCAGGATAGGCATGAAAATAAATTATCCTGCAAATGCTTAAATGTTTATGGAGCATATACTTAAATATTTGTTTGCAATAACTCTTTATAGGAGTTATTTGAATAATTTTAATCCAATTATTCACGATTTCTTGAAATGTTAGATGCAATAACAAGCAGCTGCATATTGTACATTCTTAGCAGGTGAAGTCCATAATTTTGGATGTCTGGAATAGCTGTTGTATTAAGAGGATTCCATCTTCATTTGATTTGGGTTTGAACTACGTTCAAGAGCGTATAGAAACTGCTGTCTCCCTTATTGCTTCAGGAAGGGCGCACAAACACAAAGGAAAACCAAAACCAAAACAACTACACAACCCCCCCCAAAAAATTGTGACAATATTTTAAAGCAAAACAAAAACAACACTATCAAATCTGTAATTGCTAAGGAATGAATCATACAAGTCACTTCCCCACTACTTTTTTTCTAGTGTGTAATAAAAGGAAATCATATACAGTGGTAATGCTATATTATCAGTTTGGACATTCAGAAAATCAGGACATGAAATGCCATATACTAAAATAGATGTTGGCTTTGAATAGCAACTCTTTATTACAAGTATCAGTCTGAATATGGCATGCAGATTAAAGGTTAAAAAATAACTTTTCCTTGAAGTAACAAAACTGACCTACTAACTAAAAGTATACAGCTGCAAAAATATATTAAATGTTTTTTTGCGTTTGAAACACAAATTCTTCATCTCTCTAAGAAAACAAAACAGATGACAATCTTTCAGTTTAATGGAAGAGAAAATCTTTATCTCTTGCATATCCAAAAAGATTAAATCATCGCAACAATAGACATATACACATACTCATTCACACACACACACACATTACTGAAGGCGCAACAGTAGAGCATCTTGTGGTTGCTGGAACTCCAAACCAGGTGGACCTTGAACTAATCCAGTTGTTAAGCAACATTATTTGACATACATTAGTTATGTCTTAATTATCTTAAGTTATAAAAACTGAACTGTGACATAAGAAGCATCTACTTTCAATTATTTTTTAAACCACAGATTCATTTTTGCTGTTGTTAATGTGACATTGATTCAAACAGAAATGCAAAAAACAGTGAGTAGGTGCACTATTATTTTCTTACCTGTTTTGATAACTGTAATATGTAGCATCACGTGGAATTGTGCATAATTGTTTGCCATAACAACATAAAGTTTGTGGTGAAAATTCCAACTGCAAAGAGAGGGGGATAGGTTGCTTACTAACATGTGAAATTTATAAGAATATCAAGTATAATTAGTATTGCAGACTGAAATTAAGTGGGAAGACACAGACCACACCCAGTGGGACAAATACAAAGAGCGGCATTGTTTTGTACCAAACTGCTTCAACCAAATTGCTTTGGAAGATTTTGTGTGATGCTCTGCGTAGGGTTATAAATCTTTGACGGATGTGTGGTTAAGAAAGGATGAAAACCAGTTTTATATTTTTAAGCATTTGTGCAGATACAACTGGCTGTTGATGCAGTGAATATTTACTGCCTGAGAAATTCTGTTTTGGTGGATCAAAACCAACATTGTCTACATTTACAAAGGATTTCTGTCATCAGTACAAACCTGGTGAAGATTCACAACAGATAGTCCTTGACTTACAATCATTTGTTTAGTGAAATTATAATGGAACTGAAAAATGTTATTTATGACTGGTTTCTACAATTATGATGATTGCAGTACTCTCATGATCATGTGATCCAAATTTGTGACCATTGCACTATTCCAGGGTAATATGATGACCATTTATAACCTTTCCAACTGGCTTCTGACAAGGGAAGTCAAGGGGGGAAGCCAGATTTACTTAATGATTTAGACATGATTCACTCAACAACTACAGTGATTTATTTAACAACTGTGGCAAAAAACCCTCATAAAATGAGGTAAAACTCACTTAACAACTGCTTTGGTTAGCAACAAAAAAAATGGCTCAGTGTTCTTGTAAATTGAGGATTACCTAAATACTTAATTCCCAGGATTACATTTTACTGAGTAGAAATTTATTATTTTTTCATCTAGAAATTTTGTCCCATTACACCAGGGATAATCAACCTTTTTATACCTACAGCCCACTTTTGTATCTCTGTTAGTAGTAAAATTTTCTAACTGCCCACCGGTTCCACAGTAATGGTGATTTATAAAGTAGGGAAGTAACTTTACTTTATAAAATTTACAAAGCAGAGTTACAGCAAACCCCTACCACACCCACCATGAAAGCTGGAACGCCCACTAGTGGACGGTAGGGACCAGGCTGACTACCACTGCATTACACGATTTTCAAGAACATATGGGATAGTCATTTCCAGGTAAATCAATTCTCTGGTACAGAATACAATTTAAATTACCTTTAAAATGTTCTTTTGTTTACTTATTATGTTATCCAATTTTACTTAAATGTTGTTTTGTGTACCAAGTATATGAACTGGAATATTGTCCATAATCATATTTAATTACTACTTTACAATAATTTAATCTTACGGTTACTGAACAATATTCAAGTTATAATTGTTAGTATAAGTTATGAGATAAACATTTCAAAATTCACTTTTTGAAATTGTAGATTAAAAGCTGAAGATAAAAACCAAGTTATCAGAAAGAGACGTTTGCAGAATGCAATTTCACATGACTGGATATTTATATTTACAATCAATATAAGCACAATGCTTAGAACTAAGTATTCAGTTATCTTAATAATTGTTACATTTTCTCACCTATTAGCTTCTTCCTTACCTTTCGTCCACAACAGTAGCCGAGGCTCTGCATAACCGGATCAATTTCCTGCTCAAAAACCTCTGCTAATTTGGAACAGTACTTGTACACTCTAGATGTTTTACGATTGTAAAGCCAGGCATTATTGAACATAAGCCAAATATCATCCACATATTGCCAAGGTTCCTGGTACTGTCCTGTATCAAGCTTTCTCTTGATAGTAGAAAGATCCATGGGGTTCTTTACTATATCAAAGTAGTCCTGCCAAGACAAGACATTGATAAATTATGCTTTTGAATCTTCAATCCTAATAGTGGACTTCATTTCCCCCTTTAACTTCTCATTTGATAATTCAAAGCACTGTATACCGGGTTGTTGTTGAGGTCCACTGAGAAACTACAGCTAATCCAGATGCCTTCTCTTGGAGCAGCAGCTTCCCCTATATCTAAAATCTGGATGCTCCAGACCCTGAAGACTTGGTTCTTCTTGCTGGCAATGGGCAAGGTTGCTATGTGAACTTGCTTTAGTATGAAGTATGTGAGTTATTGTCTCCGCTGCTGTGCCTGAGTTTTTAATCATTTTTGTATGTATTTTGATCTTTTTAATCCTTTATTACCTGCCCAATCACTTATCAAGTGGATGGCAATATAAATTGAATAAAATAAATATCAATACTTCATTCTTCAGCCAAACAAACCCATCCTCAAAGATCAAGGAATTGCCTGTCTCTAGTTTGTTTCCAACAAAATAATGCAAAGTTCTTATTTCAAATCACCGCTTTATTAACTGAAAGGCAACAATCTTATTCTGTAAGAGACTTCTATAATTTATCCTAAATTATAAACCACACCACCCTATAGAAAACTTCACAGATTATACTTTTATTGCCCAAACTGAATGCTTTGTAATATTAAAAAAATAGAAAAATAGTAAATCACTTATTACCAATTACACCAATCTATCAAAGACAATAAGCATAACCATTAAGATACGTACATATGTATGTATGTATAATATCTACATGCACCTGTACATATTTACATAATTTGTACGGTGTAAAACTGCATCAAGACTGATAATAAAGTTTAAGATTAGATGACAGATTGCTCTAAGGAACCTACTTTGCCCAAATTCAAAGAACCTATAGTTGCAATAAAGGTCAAGCTATGTACCATAGTAAAGTTGTATTAGTGAATGATTGATCGATATAACTGTCCATCTAACATAAATTGCAAGGATTAAAACATTAAAAAAGCCCACAATCCGAACATAAACAATGTTGACAACAGCAGCGTACATCTAACCACCTGAACCAATTTCCTGAGAAAACAGCCAGGTTTTCATTATCTTGTGAGAGGCTAACTGGATTGGGACCATCCAAATATTTGAGCAGGATCCTGTTCCACAGGACAGAAACAACCATTAAGAAGACACAACTCCTGGTTTCAATAAGATGGCACTGTTTCATAGAAGGGATATGGAACACGCTTTACTAGGTCTGGTAGGGTGAGCAGAAGAAAAAAATGGAAAAAGGCAGCCTGCCCATATGCCACAGAGGACTTTGTAGAAGATAACCAGGACTTTGAATTGCACCTAAAGCTTCCTGCGACTCAGTGGAACTTGTAGAATGCTAAGTATGGATGTTAAAAAGAAACAACAAAAACTGCCTGCACTGCTGATTTTGCTTGGCATAGTATAATGGCAGGTGGTACCTCTTCACTTCCCTATATTGAGGGGAATAATCATAATAGCTGATGAACTCCTTTTTGCTACCAGCATTGAATATTCTATTCTATTTGGACTCACAACTCAATTAATGATACTGGCAATCAGTCGTCAAAGTTACAGCCACAATGTGGTATCGTCATAGTAATGTGTTCAAAATTTGGGCACTTGGAAGCCCACCTACTTTTATTACCACAGAATGATCTTATGACCATAGGCTTTGCTTCAAGTTCCCCCACCTATTTCTGTGCCCTTTTGGCCCTGCCGTCCTGCATCTCATCACCCCAGCTGACCTTCACTGTCTTCTTCCACTTGCTGTTGACGAGGAAGAGCCAGCCAGGTTCTTTGCAGGACAGCTGCTGGCCATACAAGGCTTCCAGAAGGCTGCATGTGACCACCAGCTGCCTCATGAAGGCAGTGGGCAGTGGTGGAGTACAAGGTGGTCAAAAGGATACAGATCAGAGGTAATAAGTGAGTGTGGGAAGTTGAAGTGGAGGTCAGAGTGGCAGGGCAGGAGAAGCATGGGGCTTAAAACTGCAACTGTGACTACTAAAACTGCCATTGCAAAGCAATGTTTTGTCTAATGAATGCATTGCTTAGTGATGGAAATTCCGGTCCCAGTTAGGTTTAAGCGAGGACTATCTATATGTAAGGTTTGGCAACATAATGACATGTTAATACAATTTTTTTTAAAAATGCACTTACAGGAATTCCTAGTAGTTGAGGATCCACAGGCTGCCGGAAAGGAAGGGACTCTGGGTCCTGGCGATACAGTGCCTCCAAAGTTGGCATAAGTGCCTGTCTCAACTCTTCCGGCTTGAAAACTTTGAAAAAAGTTATGAAAGATTGAAGGCGACATACCAACCAGATTAGTTGCATATTTTAACATCTAAGCAATGCTTTAAATGCAGTGTCCAATGTTGGACAGAATTTATTGATCTAGACTTCAATAATAGGATTAGGAGTATTGTATAATTAATTTCTGCAATGTATTCTGTTTTTCTAATATTAAGCAGCTATACTTTGTAGCTATTTCTTCTAACAGATAAAACATTTCTGGAAAAGTATTTCTGGTACCAAAATGTTATACATAAATTCAAATCTCAGTTGAAGAAAATGACTTTGCCTCTATATGATATGGGGGGGGGAGGGGGGGGGAAATCGACTTACTTTTTCTCTTTGACTGCCCAGAAGCTGGTGAAGACTGGGTACCTGGAGTACTAGGCCTTTCCTCCTCTTCCTTTACTTCTTGCTTCATTTCTGGTTTCTTTTCCTCCTGTTGCATTGGTTCAGATTTACATTCATCCGCTAGGGGTTCTACTTTAATCTGGAAAAGTAGTTTGTAAATTTAACATTACATACAGTTTACTTCTCTCCTGTATAGATATTTTTGTACTGTCAATACTGATAGAAATATGTTTCCTCTGAATCTATAGAAAAGGGCATAGAAAACACAAAAACTGCATGTATGGCCATGATACATGCACAGATCTGGCCACAATCAAATGCAGCCTTATAGCACATGTAGGCCAGGATGTGCAGCATTATGCCTCCCATGTATCCTGGATTACAATACTTTGCCATTGGCTATGGTGACTATGGCTGATGAAACATGAAATTCAAAGTATCTTGAGATATAAACCTTTTGCTCTACCCAATATTGTAGATAATCTAAATTTAGTTAGATCACCATATCTCTTCATTATTTTTCATTTGTTCTCCTTGACTAAAGTACTTTTTCCAAGATACTCATATTCTGAATACAGAATTAGGTTCTAATAAAAGGAGAAAATCACTTTCCTGCATGATGGCATTTCATTTCAATTTATCTACATAACTATTCATGATCCTGTTGCTGTTGCTGGACCTAACATCAGCAAGAGACACAAAGAAAACCTGTAATAAAGAAAACCTGCCCATCAAGTCTTACAGTTTATGAAGTATTTTAGTTTTATTTATTAGCTAACTGGTCAAAATGGTGAGTGAGTAAAGCATCCTCTCCCAAACTACTGATTTCCGGATATGCCTAACTTTATCACCCATTACTCACCTCTGGTTTCTCATCTATTTGATGATCTGTGTGTTCAGAGTCCTCCTCTTCCATTTTAACCTCCATTTTAATTTCAGGTAAACTTTGCTGTTGCTGCTGTTGCTGCTGCTCAGGGGCAGTTTGCTGAATGTTTACATCTGCACTACTGGTGGATGGTGGATTTGATACCTGCCCATCAATATTTGCACCTGGCTGTGAAAGCTAGAAAAAAACACAATAAAACCAGAATATAAAAAGTGAAGCCACATGACTTTACCAAATTTATTTTTTGCTTCCTTTTGTGTTTGTAAATTATGTTAGCTCTGGCATCACTTTCTACCTGCACAAAAGAGATGCTGCACAATAAATTTAACATTAGCTTATACTTGTCCACCATGGAAGCATCCCATTTTTTGCAGCTGTTTCTGTCTCCAAACACAGGTCATTAGAATTAAACTGATGAGAATTGTTTTTCACAATATTAAATTCCACTAAAACACCACTGAGCAGATAGAAGGGCAAGTTTCAACATTTACTACAGTTCAAGTTCTATTCCCTCATGACATGTACACTCCAAAAGTTTTTCGTTTGAATTCGCAGTTTTGAAAAATAATAGTATTAGAAGAGTAAAATGTTTTCTTACAGGTGTTGTAGGGTGTTGAGGTTGCAGTGTCGCTGTTGGGGTAGGTACAGATGCAGTTGTGCTCTGTTGTGAAAGAGGTTGCTGTGGCAACTGCTGCTCTGCAGAAGGGGTAACAGAAACTGGAGGCTGCATTTGAGGAGTCAACTGAGCCTGTGGGGGTGTTGGAGTCTGCCTCTGAGAGGGGTGCATAGTTTGTGACTGGGGCCCAGAAGGTGGCATTTGAGAAACAGCAGCAGGGGCAGAGGCAATAGTTGCCTGTTGGGGTGCAGGTGGCTGCTGTTGTTGTTGCTGTTGCTGCTGCTGCTGCTGCTGCTGCTGCTGTTGCTGCTGCTGGGAAACCAATCCTGGGGGCGTATGATGAGGTGTAGGAGTACGACTTGGTACTGGAGAAGGAGAATTACGATGCAATGCAGACTGTGGAATGGGAGGACAATGAATATGACCCCCTTGAGAGCCAGGAGCCACTGCTGGAGATGTTACAGGACATGAAGAGTTGGTCATTTGTGCCTGCAAATTTTAAAAAAAGGTTCTGAATATACTGTATTTGGAGATTTGGGGTCCAAATTCACTCCATAAGGACTAAAAACCTCCCATCCCTCCTTCAGCTATTATCACAAAAACAAGACATGCTGAGAAAGCAATAGCAATTGGACTTTCTGGTAATCCCTTCTGGGAAATGAGCATAACTCTGACCTATTGCTCTCCTCACTTATAGAAAAACAAGGTACAGTCAATTAATTAAGATGAAAAGGAAAAGATTCAGCAAAGACAAAGTTACAAATAAAAAGAAAACTGATGCCACTGACAAGCTTATATAAAGAACCTTGTTTCAGTTTTGTACATTTCGTTTATCTACATTAAGTGTAGACATATCTATAATCAGAGATTAAAATATCTTCTCAACACATACTTGAGAAGCTGGAGTCTGATTGGCAGGTTGAGTCATAGGTGTGCTAGCTGGATTCATTCCAGGGGACAATGAAGGAAACTGGTTCTGTGGTACAAATTGACTTTGACCAGAAGACTGACCAACCCCTTGAGGTTGCATACGTGGGGGAAATCCAATCTATAAGAAAACATCAATGAATAGAAATACTGTATAATGCTATTAATTTTCATATTACTTAACATTTCAATAAAACAGTTGTTTTAAAATATTCCCTTCTAAATTGTAAGAAATATTTATGTGACTATCTATAGATTTTCCACCAATTGCTTAAAAAAATAAATTATCCGAAGAATGCACATATGACTTAAACAAATTCAAGACAGAAATTATTAAAATATGGAGAAAACACCACACTTAGACAGAAGACTTAGTTTTACCAGCTGATTAGAAAACATAACAGATAGAAGAATCAACCAACCTGATTTATATTCCCAGCCTGGTTTAGCTGTCCGGGGTGAGGAAGGGGAGGGGTTTGTCGGGGTCCAACTGATGGCATTGACATGGTTATTGGGCCAAACTGATTCATTCCTGTGAATGTTCATGTTTAAATAAAAATTTTCAGTGTTTACTAGAACATTGATATGTTGCACATTTTTTAAAAAGATACAAAAAGAAAACTGTTGGAGCAACTCAATACCAGTGAGAAAATAAGGAGAAAACAATGGGTGGATGGATGAATAAATAAATAAATAAAAGCAAACAAATATCAGCAATCAATAATTATTTAGAGAAAGCTTTGACCTGACAACATTTGAAGGAAACAATGTAAAAGCAATGATTTTTAAAGTGCTACATGTATGAAGCTTTAAGTTAAACTGAAGCTAAGGCTTTATTGTGTTATTTGAGAAGCCATTTAGTATAGGTATTTTGTAACACAGCTAGAGGCTAATATAAAAATACAAAGATAAAAAAAACCAAGCAAGAGCCTATGTGTAAGTACTAATATTGACCTAGATAAAGCCATATCTATTGTTTCCATTAGCAAGACCTGAAAATCCAACAAACAGAAAAAGATGGTTTAAAAATTAAAAATTTGCAAAAAATGTTGACAATTGCTTGATAAAAAGAAAAAGATTTATGGTATATGCCCCTTTGAGATAAACTATTCTGCCTAGAACAGAAAGCATTCATTTGAAGGAAAACTTGCTCTGCTTGGTTATACTGAAAGTGTAATGCCAGTGGATTGTGTCACATAAGAAAAAGCAATAATATGATAAAGATACATGACTTCTATCTATTGAGAAAAAGTATAAAATGGCAAAACAAGAGCAGATATATTCTAGAACTAAAATATGGAATGTGGAAAGCCAGTCATAGTAGTAAGAAATTGTTACGGCAGAATGAGTACACAATCTAAATCCAAAATTTCCTGAATCTAATGATAAATGTCTTATGAGAGGTTTCTAAAGTCTCACCTGGTGGTGTCTGCATGCGATTTACCATTTGGTTTGGCACATTGGAACGAATCATGTTTGGGTCAGGAAGAGGACCATCTGTAATGTAGACAAAATCCCAAAAATTAAATTAATATTTTTTCACAAATCCTAGGCGCTTTATCAGGATTCATTCACATATCCCTCCAAGTATCACCATCTGTCCCACAAATCAAATTCTGATAGATTACTAAATATAAACATCTTCAAAATCTGCTCCCACCCCCAAGTGCTAGCCCATGTTATGGAAAGAAGTTGGCAGGTTTTTTCCTATTGGTAGGAAATCGACCAATTTTTGCCAACTTGTTCTATATGGAAATTGTCAACAGAGCATTACTTGCTAGCCTTGGTAACAAAGCAAATGAACCTGGCTGATGGGGAAAAATTAATTATGTCAGCATATTTAGTGAATTTTGTAGACTGGAAAAATTTTACATTAAACTATCTGTAAGTGCTCTGTTTTAAGTGGTATCTACTGTCAGTTTCCTCCTAATAATATACATGATGGCATATTATAAATTAAAACTGTCAGCCTCAAGCTTTATTTTTATTTACAAAAATACTTTTGAATACTGCAACATAATACTCAAGCTTGCCCATCTTCTTTAAAAAACAGAAAAAAACTAAGCTTAAGAAGATGGGGAATTTGGGAATTTCTTTAGACATTTACTATAAAATATCTTCTTACTTGCCTCTCCTACCATGGCACCACTATATCCATTTTGCTAGAATAACTATGACATTTATAAACTCTGAATAAGCTGATGAGTCCATTTCTAAGATAACACAATTGTAATTTTGATTCTTCGCTGGCTAAGGATTAAATTTTTCAAGTATTAATTACACAGGTTAATATAAACACGTACTTGCTGTCATTCCAGGCTGTGGCTGCCCCATGGGTCCTTGATTCATAGGAGCTGGTGGCATGACTGGGGCATTTGGTATCATATTTTGCCTCTGCAATCTGGTCCTTCTCTTTTCCTCCAATTCCTTCTGGATTTTATAAATTTTCTCTGCTAATAAGTGATAGTACTCTGCCTGTAATGGGAAATATATGTAAGATTAATGATACGTATTTGCTCATTTTAAACTTCCAGATGTACGCTATGGATTTTACTCCTTAGAATCTGATGTTTATTCAACACTAGTGAAAGAGCTATCACTGTAATTCAGGTTCTGCACATAGAAAGCTAAAGAATGTAGTGATGTGGATTGGTTGGATAGGTAGGTGGGAGCTAAGAATACTTAGAAGTTAGACTATGGTAAGCGCCAAGATAATCAGGTTTCTGTTGTGGTCTGCTGATGGTCTGCAAAGCTGGTAGCGGAGTTGGATAGCAAGGAGGTTGGGGAGGAACATGGGCCAGTCCTGGGATCTGGGGAAGGCTCGGACGAGGGCCCTACATAGGAGGCAGAGAGGGGGCTAGGGCCTTGTGCTGCCTTCCAGAGTCGGACATCAGCGAGGCAGGCAAACAGGCTCCCCGTTCCCAGTGCACACATGCACAGAGTTGCCAGAAGGCAAGAACAGTTAAGACAGAAGGGACGACTCGGGAGTAAGGCTTGGAGGTGATTGGCCCCTCCCATAGGACATAAAGTAGGAGCAAAGGCACATGAGCCTTTGTAGGAAGCAACTTGGTTCATGGTGGTCAATTTACCTTCTGAAGCTCCGTTTTGATTCTTTGTTCTGCGTGGCCTTGCCAAGCTAATTGCCAATTAAGTCTTTCAAGGAAGATAAAGGTGGAGCCTTCTCCCAAAAGACTTTGGCAGCCTACTGCAGGACTCTTTTCAACTATTTGGGACTCATTATGGGCTGTGAATGAACATAATTCACAGGCTTTGAAATAAAAAGAGGGGTTTTGGGACTAAGCGCATGCTTTTTACTGCATCAGGAAGCCTAGGTCAGAACAGTTTCTCTGTACTGCCATCAGAAGTCTGCATTACAAACTGGATGTAGTGCCATCAGGAGTGTAATATGAGGTTTGATATTACATGTAACCTCAAGGCCGTATAAAACATATTATAAATAAAATTCATTTGATTTTAATCTTCATTCTAAAGCAAATCTGCAACACTGCATCTAATGCAATATCTTACCACAAGAGTGAGTAGCAGACTGCTCCTTACTGTTAGGAACTATCCAATTATGTTAGAGCACCATGAAAATTACATTCACCCTCATTGCTTTGGTCTGAATTTTGTTCCTTAAAGACAACAAATGAGTTTAAATGACTGTAATTGACTTTGTAATCCAACTATATACACACAATGATTCACTGGCATCACTGAAGTAGTTTATATTCTTTAGTCTACGGACATCTCACAATGGTAGAAAAGAATACACATTTAGCAGTATATACATAGAAAAATATAAGGATCAGCTGTTTAAAAATGTGTGAGAGAAATAGGACTCCAGAAAATAGCATACCCTGCTATTTGCAGATTCATACATGTCCCCTTCAACTTTCCGAGCATAGGAGACAAGATTTGCCATACGTCTATCTTTCAGTGCTGCGGGGTCAGGAGTTGGAAATATGGCTTGTACTCTAGAGGAATATAAGGGGGAAATATTAAATCTATTAAGCTATTGTTTCATAAGCAAGCAAACAAAATTTTTTGAACTTTGTATTATATAATACCACCATGCTCCACTTCATATTTCCTTTAGGAATGGTTGGCTGATAAATCAAAACAATCCTCAACACTTCCCAGTATGAAGACAAATATACGTGTCCCAGGATAATGATGCAGAGCTGAATTTGCAGTCACCAGGACCAGAGATTTACTCTTTTGAGCTTTTGGACTCATGCTGGAGCCCATCTTCAGGGAGCTTCTCTCTATTGGATTAGAAGCTGAGGACTTGGCAGCACAAGGAAACAACAGCCACCAATAGGAAGGCACCAAATAAACACAACTCACAGAACAGCCCAAAGCACGTATTCCAGTAGAGAGAAGTTCCCTGAAGATGGGTTCTAGCATGAGTTGGGAAGAGTAAATCTCTGGTCCAGGTGACTGACCCAAATTCGATCTCGCACTTCCCAGTATATTTAGAAATCCAGAAAATGTTACCATTATGGACTAGTGCCAAGAAGGGAGAGAAGCAATTCAAGTAATTTTTTAAAATTTAGCCATATCAAAATAGGAGCGAGTAGGGATTTATTTAGCCCACAAGTATTTTATCTTTCTTGTGATATTCTTATCAATGCTGCTATGGGTGAGAAGCATATAGGAACTCTGCAGTTATGTTGACACCCAAACAATTAAAAAAACTTACTGAAAGCTTGTACACCCAGCCTTATTTAAGTTTAATACAAATAGTCTTGCCAAATCACAGCAGCACAGCTTCTTGTAATATGGAAATAAAGGATATCTAACAGAACAGCCTTCCTTGATTCAGGACCCCTCCAAAATGTGCCAGACCAAAGCTTTCATTGCCCATGCTACCTGGAAGTAACAGGAATTGTAATTCAATACAACACAGAACACAGCCAGGCACAAAAGATCGTGTTGACTGCTGCACAGTCAATGCAACCTTTTTCAGCCCTATCAGTTCAACAGAAAGCACTGGATTACTTGGGTTTCTGGAATTACTTTGTAGCTTTCATACTGTAGCTATGATAGAAAATTATAGCTGACTCTTTCAGCGGTTTACCACAAGAGTCAGTAGATCATAGTTGTTGAAGTCTGGGCCCAAAGGATTTTTAGCAATTAGAGCTATGAAAACTGTTTGAAAAATATGACTGACAACGTGCAGAAGTACGGACAAAGTACCTTTCTTTTAATCATTACAGCAACCATATCTTTAACCAGCTTGCTTTGTTACTTTATAAGTTGTTCCTAGCTATGTCTGTGTATGCTTTTTTGTTGTTGATGGTTTTCCACCACCAAGTCTATAACTGTGGTTAATGCAGGGATCCAAATTGAAGCACTATCAAAAAGGGATTTCCAGCCTCTACTAGAAAGTACCTCTAGAAAGTAAACCCTCTACTTCCCTTAACTGTTTTAAATGTCCTAACACTAACATGAAATCTATATTCCTGTAACTTAAGATCATTCCCAAGTAATATAGAAAAGAAAACTCAAGTTCCTTTCTTGGGTAACTCCAATCCAATGGAACTATATTAAACTTTTCTTTCTTGCCAGTTTCCCTAGTAATGAGGCACCTTTTTCTTGCCACTGATATACTCATACATTGTAAGTAGCTGCTATTTGACACACATCCATATAGATCAAATAGGCCCTATAGAATCCTAAATCCTGGGGACCAATGGGTGTCTCATTAAAAAAATCTACTAAGTTTATTTTTAGTTCCCTTATAAAAAGAAGGTGCTGTTCTTCTGCAAAGGAAAATTAAGATAACTTTCTTCAGGCAGAATAAACGCAAATATTGCAATGTATTGTTAACTATTTGTAGACATTCTGAATAATAAAATAATAAACACATTGATAATTATTACTGAAGTTATAATAGCTTTTTATCAATGTATTTAATTTTAGTCAATAGACACTTAAAACACAATTAATATTTAGGCCATGTATCCATGACCCCGAAAGTTGACAACCATGGTGTATGATAGATTCGGAGAAAAGGAAAGGATATAATATATTGAAATTAAAATAGTCTAATTAAAAGGAATAGAGGGAATTTTATAATTTTAAGGCCATTTAATTCTACTGCCATTGTGGGCCACATACAATATTAAAATAATTTAGAAAATACAAACTAAAGATCAGACATCCATAAAACAAAGAACATCGCCCCAAGTTTTAAAAAAGAGCCATATAACACAACAATACTCCTAGAGGGGAGTGTCAGGTTTTAAGAGTGCCTATGGATAATCGCTAAGGAGCTGTTCCAGATGGCAGGCATAGGTTATATATAAAGGCATGCTTCCTAGGTCCCGTCAGATAACACTGTTCAATGGATGACACTTGAAGTGTGCAGACTCTGCCTGATCGTACAGAATAGCAGAAATTATGAAGGACAGATGGCCCTTCAGATAACCAGGCCCTATACCATAAATGGCTTTAGAGGTAATAACAGGTGCCTTGCATCCAGACTCCTGCTGTTAATCAATGCAGCTCATAAAACATGGTTGGGGGATATCATGAAACCTGGACAAAAATTGTCCAGAACCACTGACTCCAATGATGGCCAAAACTACCCACTCCTTCAACAAAACAGATACTACTCCATGGGTGCAATTTTATATCCCCTCAAAGCAATCTTCATGAGCCAGAAGTTATAACGATCAAATAGACAGGGAGCCAACTTAGCAGAACTGAGGATTCTATCCACTTTTTCCAGGGTTACAACTCCCAACTTGGCACGTTACTTATCTAAGACCTTGATGAATACATAGTTTAATAAATTATGAATGGAAAAGTTAAAATATATGACATAAAGCGGGTAGAAATAGGTTTAATTTAGACTGATTGATCAGGTGCCATCTAGTTCATGTCAGCTCTCAACAACTAGATACTGTATATATTTTCTTTATGATCATCTGATTCTACTGTTGGTATATATGAAAGTAGGAATTTTTAGGGTTGTGACAGATTGGCTATATAACCTTTTTAGTATGTGTGCAAAGACTATATCTATCTATGGCAATTGGAATAAAGGTATTATTAGTTCCTTTATACAAAGGGAAGATACAACAATGAATGCAAAATCTACAGTGAGATTATAAAGTGTGGGTTTGTGTTGGGTAAAATTATGATTGAAAGGGAAATGAAAATGAGAAAAATTTGGGAAGTGTGACATGGTTTAATGCAAAGTAAGACTGTACAAATCTGAGAGAAAAAAGCACTATACATTTGAAAATAAAATGGACTGAATACAAAAGAAAGTTATACAAAAACAATATGCTGAAATGGATTGGCCATGTAGGACGACAAAATTAGTTAATAGGAAAGGGAAAATAAAAAAAATGTAGTTACTTGAAGTTGATAAGGTCTCAAAAAGAGAGAGGTGAAAAATTTAAAGAACAAAAGTCAATGTATGGTGTATTGCTATAGTTGAAACAAGGCTAGCATGAAAGGAAAGAAAATCATGGGGCGGTATAGTGAATGGTTTTATATTAAAATGGTTTTGAAGTTCCTCCTCTATCTTCTGACATTTATTTATTTAACTTTTTTTCTTTGCTTTGCATAATACTGCTTATATTGAAATGATGAGTGTGCATGCATATAAAATGATACAATTTTTCAACTATACAATGTTGCTGTGCACCAATGTATTAGTCCTGGAAATAATGTAGATATCTTACTGAAGGGTCAATGTATGGCAACTCAATGAAACTGATTTTTAATGCTCATAAAGTAAAATTACTTCAAGGCAACATAGAAGAAATGGATTTCCAGATATGGGTCGCACTTTCTGGCACTGATTGCCTCCTTATCACAGAATTTATTGCCTCATGATAGGATCCACTTAAGCAGCAAATTATGAGTATTTCTTACACTATTTGGACATAATATCAATTTCTCTTTTCATTAGAAATGTACAGCCTTAACTTTAGATTCTTGCCCTATATCTACTTCCACATGCTACAAAGATAGGTTCAACAGTAAAAAAGAAATCAATAATTACCATCACACGTTATGAAAAAGCATTAGATTTATAGTTTGTTACATTATGTTTACCATTCTCATTATATCAATTGTATTATTTATAAGGTTTGTTTAGAAGTCTGAACATTTTATTAGTACATACAGTTTATGCACAAGGTGGTTTCTGAGATCCTGAGTAATATCTTCATGCCATGGTTTTCGAATTCCAATACCAGAAGGATGTGTTGCAGTTGGCATATTCCCCAGACCAGCAACATTTGCATTTTCATTCAACATAGGACTGAAAACAAAGTGGAAACTTATGGGGCACCATAAAACAAAGTTTAGTGATACCCTATACAGAAGACAAGATAGTTTATTCTATTGATGTAGCTCTCTTATATTTATGAGGTTTCCTGCTCTGGTGTGATCAGGTGTGTTATATGCCATTTTAGGCATATAAACCTTTGTATTTTCCCCAAAATGATTTTTATTTCGTAAATGTGAGCTTCAATATCTCTTGTCAAAATTATCAAGATTAAAATCAAACAAAAATTAGAAATAGAACTCATAATATTCTTATATACCTCTGAAAGTTTTACTTGGGGAAATAAGGAAGCATTTAAGAATTATGTTATGGATTTGATATTGGAATTAAAAAAGTCATCATATTCACTCAGTCTTTGGCTGTCAATGTTTTACTTCTGAATACGTGTTTCTTCAGAAAACATTCATTTCCAACTACAATACTTGATCAATTATTTTTTAAATGGTTTTTTTATTCATAATTTATATTCTCTTAATTTAAACTAATTATAAAGAAATATAAACTCATGTTCAATCACTTCAATATACAGGTAGACCTCGACTTATAACCTTTTGTTTAATAATTGTTTGAAGTTACAACGGCACTGAAAAAATAATTTATGACCAATTTCCACACTGATGCCTGTTGTAGCATCCCCATGGTCATGTGCAGAGTTGGTATTCAGCCGGTTTGCATTGATTCGGGTGAACAGGTAGGGGAAATTTGGTATCGGTAGTGACTTCTAGCTGAACCAGTCCCTGCTCATCCAGTTGCCGCTCAGTCACCCCACCCTCACTCGCCCTGCCCGATGCTCATCCCACCCCTATATATGTTGCCATCGCCATTTGGCTTAGCTAAACGTGTCAGTCGCCTCCGCATCTTGCCCATTCTGCTCAGCTCACGAAAGGTAAGCATGCCAGCTACTCATCCTTCGTCTTGGGTCAGGTGCCGGGGACCAGGACCCACGGATGTGCTATTCCCTGAAGCCCCAGAGCCTCTACCTGCTTGCCACTCACCTTGGCCAGGTTGGGGAATGTACCATTCCCTGGCTCTGGCCTTCCCGGGGCCTCCTCCTGCATGCCGTCCACTCTCCCTTCACCAGTCCTGGTTTCCGCTCCTTTAGAGGCCTGGCCCTAGCCCTGCTTCCTCCACCGCCTCTTTCTTTGGGCTTACCTTCCTCCTGTGGCAGTTGGTCCAGATTCCGGAAGGCAAGCTTTCTTTTTCAGTGTGACTGTGAGAAGCCTCCCAGTCACTGCCTCTTTTCTACCCGCTGCTGGCTGGAGGCCGCCGAAAACTACTGGAGGTCTCGAACACACTGAAAAAGCCACTACTGTCGCCGCCCTGTTCTTTGCACCAGCTGCGTGTGTATTGCCTGCTGCGCCGCTCTGCTTGTACTTGCCTGGTCAAATCCCTCTGGTGCAGCAGACAATGGGATGAGCATGTGTGGCTGGTGCAAAGAACAGGGCGGTGATGTCAGTGGCTTTTTTGGTGCATTTGAGACCTCCGGTAGTTTTCAGTGGCCTCCAGCCAGCTGCCACTGCCAGGAAACAGCTGGCAAAGAGGCGGCTGCTGGGAGGAAGGTAAGCCCAAACAAAGAGGCGGTCGTGGGGGAGGAAGCAAGACTAGGGCTGGTGCCTCGGAAGGAGCAGAAACGGGACTGGCGAAGGGAGAGCGGGCAACATGCAGGAGGAGCCCTTTCACAGATTAGGCCAGGCCTGGGCAGAAAATAGGTAGAAATTAATTTCTCCCCCTACCTACATGACCTGTGGCCATGGTTTGGTGGGGTCATGTGACTGAGTAGGTGTGGGCGATGTTGAGTTAACCACGCCCACCCAGTCACATGACACCCACCACCACCAAAGAACCTGGTAGGAAAAAAATTTGAATCCCACCACTGGTCACGTGATCAAATTTCAGCCTCTAGGCTGACTCATATTTATAATGGTTGCAGTATCCTGGGATCATGTGATCATCTTTTGTGATCTTCTGACGATAAAAATCAATGAAAAAGCCAGATTCACTTTACAATTGTGTCACTGACTTAACTGCAGTATTCAATTAACAACTGTAGCAAGAAATGTCATAAAATGGGGGGGGAAACAACTGCTTTGCAACAATGGAAATTTTGAACTAAATTGTGCTTGTATATCGAGGACTGCCTGATGAAGAGTAAGATGAAATACATTTGATTTCCACCTGTCCTAAAATGCAATGAATTACTAAGTATATTAATAGAAAATGCAGAAAAATAATTGTAAGTATTTATTCATACTTTATATTAACTTCCAGTGGAGATATCTACTTCATTCAGCTCAATCATATCTACTTTTACATCCAATACTCTGATTTTTTTAATGACTATGGTCAAACTTTTTTCAATGCCCAATATAATTATTTTTTTACTGAGAAAGGAAACATGGAATCCTGCTATTCTTTTTTCAAAATGAAATTTTCTACAATTTATAGATGTTATAACTTCCACACGAGAACATTCAAAATCAAATAAATTTCAATATTTTTGTGTTTACAAGATTATACTCCTGTCCCCTCCTTTCTTTGAGGATAACATGCAAATCTAACCTGACAAAATAGAGCTATTGTAAAAAACCTAAGGAACTGCCTTGAATGAGGATTTTAACTGGTTTTATATAAGACTGCATTTCAAATGCATTACTTGGATGTTTTCCTTTACTTAGCATCGTCCAAGACACATCATGCTATATTTAGGAGAATTTTTAACCAATTTAGAATGTATACCAGCTGTAGCTTTACCAGAAAAAAAAAAGTGGGGGGACCCTTCAATCTCAGTAATAGTAATATCCAGTCTGAATTACTACCTCACAGGATAATGTAGTGTAATGTAGTAATGGAAATGCAGCTGGTACAAAATGCTGTTCCCAGTCTTAGTGATTTTGAAATGGTTAGGGTAATTTAATAAGTATTGGATGGCCAGCACTAATCAATGCATTTCCAGGCCCAGCTTAGGATGCTGGAATCAATCTGTAAATGTTCTTATTGGTGCTAACTTACCTGAAAATCTTTCAACTATAGCAACCGCTCATTTTTGCTAATTTTATAAGGTTATATGTTAAATGAAAATAATCTTACTTTTGAGAATTTACAGCTGAATGCAACATTGCATCTGGTAGCAGATTCTGGGCTTGAACTCCAACTCCTCCATTCACTCCCATAGGATTAGCACCTATTTAGGAAAAACAAAACAAAATATTCTAATTAAATATTTATTATGTTGTTTTACAAAAAGCAAAGCCTTAATGTTTATTAGTTTGTATTATACCTGTACAATGTAAGAATCCACTCCATCCCTGATTTTTATAACTTAAACATATTCATAGTTTGTAACATTTGCATGAAATAATTATCATTACTCTCCTTCATAAGAAAATACAGTAAGATTCTTAAGGGAGACCTAGTAAATTGCTGAGACCACAGGCACATCAAATAAAAATTACAGCCATACTTCCAAGATGCATCTCCCCCCACCTCTGTAGGAATATGTACCAATAAATGGGTTTTGAAAAAGGTATCAATTTTTTAATTAAAAAATTCAATTTTTGTAATAATTTTCTAATAATTTAAATGTCTTTTGGCACTTCAGAGAGAAAGGCTCATCAATAAGACAAAGACTGTTATATATAAATGGCAAAATATTTATTGGATAGGAGACATATATTTTGTCTTCTGTGAACTTACTTGTGGGATTCATGGGGCGAAGCCCCTGTGGTGACTGTCCTTGCTGCTGACTTTTCACTTGAGCCTGTGTCTGTGTTGGCATCTGATTCCCTTGATATGTCAGCCCCAGAGCTGCATAAGCCCTTTCAATAGAGCTGGGGTCAATCTGGTTAGTAGTATTTAAGTTGGGTGTTGTCTGCTGCCCAACTCCCACAGAACCAGAATTTCCAATTCCTACTGCAGCACCACCTAATAATGCTAGAAGCAATGAAAACACAAAGATGGAGAAGTGATTAAAAAAAACTAACTGGATTGACATTAATCCATATTTTTAAATCTATAAATTTTAAATAAAAATTTGAAATAAATTTTTGAAGGAAAAATGGGAGTCTATTCAACATTAATGTCTAAGTGTTAAATTCATCAGAATTACCGTACTTTTTCATAAAATAATGTTGTGCTCATTTTATAAATATCTTGCATTCTTACTATTTTAAAATTATTAATACATACTCAATATATCTTGGTCATTTTTGCCAATTATTCAGCTTGATTAAGAGTTATGTAGAGGAGAGGCAAGGAAAAAAATAAAAGCACAACTATGGGGAAAGTATGGTATGAACCAGGGGTGAAATACTCCCGGTTAGACGAAACTGGCAGGGACAATTGTCCTTGATTCTGTGAACCCGTAGTAAAAAGAAAGCTTCCGAGGATCATGTGGCTCAGCTGTGACCCACGCGATCGTCAGAAGCTTTTTTCCAGTTTGCCTGAACTGACAGGGAAAAAATGCTTTAAAAAGTGGGGGTGAGTGGGTATGCTGCTGCGAAAGAGAAAGAAGAGGGGGAGGGGGGGAGGGAGGGAGGGAGGGAGGGAAAAAGGAGAGGGAAGGAGGACCACAAACTTGGCACTAGACACAGCTTCAGAGGATATCTTGAAAGAGCACAGTAATCCAGGGCTGGAAGGGACCTGGATGTCATCTAGTCCAACCCTCTGTTCCAGCACAACATTGTTAAAGCGAGTTTCTGTCTTTTGGCCCGCCCAGTCTTGACTACAAAGCCATGCCCACCCAGTCACATGATGCCCCCAAGCCACGCCCACAGAAATGGTAGGGGAAAAATAGATTTCAGCACTGGTATGTACCTTTCATCAATGAAGAAATATTGATTTACTAAAATGTCACTCCTACAGGCACTGAAAAAGCTAAATATGTCACTTTCTTAACATGACCTAACAACAAGTGTTTAGTGTCCAGCACATAAATTAATGCAATAAACAGAAATACATCTTTTGATACACTATTTGTCCTATAAAGCAGGGGTGTCGAACTGGATTTCTTCAAGGGCCAGATCAGCATTGTAGTTCTCCTCCTTGGGCCGGCCAGAGGGGAGATGGATGTTGCCTCCTGCAGCACCCTGCCAGCCAAAACGTTTTGGCTGCCAGAGGGAGCCCCATTTTGGCTGCCAGAGGGACTGCAGGCCGGTCCTCTGGTAGCCTGCAGGGCTTGAGTTTGACACCCCTGCTATAAAGGATTTTCAGCTTCAGGCATCTTACTTTGCATAACATTGTTAAAAAAAAAACTATTACAGTACACATAATATAAGATTCTGATTTTGTTAATAGCCTAACAATGATATTATAACAATAAAGGGTGTAAAGGACTTCTTACATTGTTGATTTCTTTTATCCCCAGCATTTTTAAGAGGAAGACACACAGGACAATCATGCCGGGTACAATTCTTCCAGTGAGATATGATTTGTCGTGAAGATGCACAATGAGCCACTAAAAGAAAGTTTAAAAAATATTTTGTGACTTGCACAAACCTGAACATTTCTTGAACTATCTATATAAATTGAAATCTGCTGTTGATTCCTAGAAATGAAACAGTTGGTACAATACAATTTCAACTTTTAAAGTGGAAAAGGTCATCTCTCTCTGTACTCCAGCAGTTTGAGCCCTAGCAGTGTGTGATGGAGTGAGCTCTTATCATTTGCCTCAACTTCTATCAACATAGCAGTTCAAAATCATGCAAAATACAAATAGATAAATAGGTACCATTCCGATGGGAAACTAATTGCTCTTTGTGAAATAGAAAGAAACTAACTGCTAGACCTACCTGAATGCAAGGTAAATTCAGTGGAGAAAAACTCCAGATGACACTTGCATAGAACATCGTTAGACACTCTGTGGATGGAGCTAGTTCACCCCCCTGTGGTGTACCCTGGATGAACTAAGCAAACTAGCAATCTTAGGTAGCCAAACTATTCTATACTAACAATGTAGACTCCTTGGCTCTCGATGTACAAACACCATATGCTAAATAAATCAATAAATCTGAGCTCAAATTCATCATTCTATTAACCAGTTTTCATTTCAGCAGTATAATATAGTCTGAGCAAAGGCAAGTATTTTATTGTTGCTCATGTTAAATAAGTTTAACATAAATCCTTGCTGACTTCCAACAAATCATTCAAAGTTCTAACATTAGATTAAGGTCTAATTTCTGCAAATTTCTGTTGTACAGAACATGATTACAAGTATATAGAAAATCAAATGTTGTACTTACCCTGACAGGATTTTCCAGCCTGGCAATGTGTCATGTGGTTGAGGACATTCTTCATGGTTCGACAGTGAGGGAGGTTACACTGTCGTACTTCTCCATTTGCTTGCTCCCTCCGCTGACATTTGTGAGCATGCAAGAGGAGAACAAGTTGCTGCTGTATAAGCTTGCGTTTTTCTGGGTCTGCTGTAGGTGCTCCTGATCCCATAGCAGTTGATACCATGCTAGCCTGCTGAACTGAAGGAGTCTGCTGCTGCTGACACTATTAAAAGGAGACAAAGCATTTTTGAGTTCAGCAAAAATTAGAAAAGTGATTTTTTAAAGCCCCTTCCTGGAGCTTAGCTTGGTGGAACCATAACTATTATTTTAAATGCAAACCAGAAAGTAGTTTAAGTTTCTCAAGAAGCTGGTTCTACAAGATGGAAACTGCTATTTTGTTTTGAATTCCCCACTACATATAATCCCTTAGATAAAGCTCACAATCCCAATTTATTATCACCCCTACTAAACAGTACCTCATGTCAAATGATTTCATTACTAGTTTAATCTCATTATTAGAATTAGTTGCAGTCTTTGATAACCAACACAGAAATGAATCATCCCTTTATATGGAGTAACACAAATACATAAAGCATTGAAGAAGTAAGTTCATGGACCTCTAGCACTGTCACATATTGAGTTATGGTATCACTGAAAATATATAAATGAAAGTGGGTCGTTTCAGCATAAAACCTCTACTGAGATACTAGATAAACAACTGTCTATAGAAAACATCAATTAAGCACTACTACCCTGTATAATTTTTGTGCAACTTTTATTACCAATCTTAAGGATCTCCCTTAAGCACAGATCAGTAAGAAATGACATTTTTCTTTGAGTTCAGAACATAAATAGGGGAATTCTTTCGGGACCAGGAAGAGGATTGAGCAAAATCCTAGCCCGTCGCTCCGTGGCCACTGGCTCTACGGCCTGAATGTCCAGCAAGTGCTGGATCTCAGTTTCTATCAGTGCTCTTTTGATGTTGTCCCTGGGAATGGAACAGAATTCTAAAGTGAAGCTGAGTCTCACTGTTCGCAGAGACCAAGCGTCTATAGTGGTCTCTTGCCATTGGCTGGCGAATAGTGGTAATCAACTCCCAATGGGATGACCAGATTGAAAGTCACTCTGACTTGCTAGACCTACAAAAGGCCGCCTGGTATGAGGTTGTCTGACCCTATTTATAAAGATTGACCTGTCCCGAGGGCAGTCAATGCTTTGAGGGTATGATCTTTGATAAGGGGTGTTGAACCCTGTCTCCGGGGGGCTGAAAGGGCTGCTGGAGATAGTGGCTCCGCCCTCCTGTACATGTGAGGAGAAATCTTCCTCTTATCCTTACCCTCAACTAGGCTATGGTCCAGTACCTCCCCAAAAAGGATGCCACCCTTAAAGGGAGCTGAGGCTAACCTCCACTTTGATTTCATATCAGCCCGCCAGTGATGCAGCTAGAGGAGGCGACGAGAGGTAACGTTAGACGCCATGGCCCTAGATGTGAATTTGGCCGCGTTGAGGGTTGTATTTGCTGAATATTCATATCCTGCTGCAGCCTGCTGTCCCCAGGGGAGGCTGGGGACTGCATCTGACAGAGCCAGAGCAAGGATGCCTTATTAAAGAAGGAAGCCGCTGTGACTGATCTAGTTGTCCAGGTGGCTGCCTGGTGCATCTTGCGAGAAGACATCTCTGCCTTTCTATCCTCAGCTCTTACACCATTCACTATGTCGGAAGGGAGGATGGCCAAAGAGGCCAGAGGACCGTCCACAGTCGGTAATTTAAGAAGCTCCTAAATGTCCTGATCCACCCCATACATCTTCCTATCGATCCCACTGGGGGCAGCAATGGAGCCAGGTTGGGGCCACTGTCGCTGAATGACATCTACAAATAGCTTTGGGGAAGGAATGACCTTTTGTTCCTTCACTGACTCTGTGAACAATATATCGCTAGGATCTGAGAAGCTGGGGACGTATCAGCCAGCTTATTTGCCTTCCCCATATTGACTGTTGTTTTGGCCTTAAAGAGCAAGGTCTTAGAGTGGAACAAATCAGCCCTGTGAACGAAGGTTTATCTGGGATGAGGCCTTCATCCTCAGATAGGTCCTCGTCCCCTGGATCATCATCCCCCATGATTGAAACCTCACTATGGAGGGAAGGGGATGAAGAATGGGGATCCTGCATGTAAGCCAGACCAGTTTGAGTCTGAGGTTGCAGGCCTGATAATCGAGGAAGCCCTGGTGGTGGGTGGTATGGAAATTCTCTCCGGAACAGTGCTGTCTCTATGTCCTGCGATATGCTCTCAGCGATGATGTTACACAATTTCTGAGAGAGACCAGGGCCCTCATCCTCCTCAGAGCGGAGCCCCACTGCTGTGGGAGTAAAGGTAGCTGCCGGGGCAGAAAGCCTAATATCCGAAGTGGGCTCTAATCCTGCTGATGCCAGGCAGGAGAAAAGCAACATCCTCCTCATAAGAGGCTGTCTGAAAAGGATGCATCTCATTGGAGTCATTAGGTGATCAATTTAGTTGGCTATCTTCTAAAATCTGTGAGGGCAGTTCCGTCTCCAAAGGGCGGGAAACCACAGGCCTACCCACTGGATTTCTGGAAACCCTGTCTGCTTCTGGGCCATTGAGATGTGCTTTTCCAAAGCCTTTTGCCTCCTTTTTGCATCTTTCTCAGAGGCTGATGAAGCTCTCCTTGAATCCAGGGCCTGGGACTTGGCTGAAGGCCCTCTTGAAGCTGATGTAGCCCCTCTGGAGTCAGAATTTTCCAACCTCTGTTGCCTGGGGGAAGGTTCAGCTAGGCTGCTGCTTGCAGGCAATGAGCAGTCCGCCATTTGAAAATGGTCCGAACTGTTACTGTTAGCCGATTTTCTTGCTCTAGCTGTAATACAAATTTGGGGCAAATCCCAAGCCTGGGAAAAAACTCCTCAATTACAAGGCTGGGTAGTGAATCTGAAATATTTCTCTGCTCTTCAAACGATCCAAGGGAGAGTGCAATAACTCACTGTGAATGGATGCCAGTCAAAAGAAATGGCGCAAAACTGACAACATGGTTTGCAAGCGCAAAAACAGGAGCTGAAAGTTGGAACAGGAGTCGAAGTCTCGGTCCAGCAACTATCGCCTGAGGTGTACAGGTACCTGCAGCTAAGGAGGCTGGGTGTGGGCACTTGAAGAGCCCAAAAGGCCTGGATTGGCTTGCAGCGATTTGCCTCTCCTTTGTAGTGCAAAAACAGTTGTTAGCGCTCTGCCAAACTGCTGAAATGCAATCTGACTGCGCACCAGCCGCTGCAGTCGAATGATGAGCACTGCTGCAGTCTGCCTTAGCAGGGGGATGAAAGGACCCCTGCCGCAATGAAGCCTACCTTCTTTGGAAGTTTTGTAGCTCTTATAGAAAAATCTAAGCATGGAGAATAAATTACATATGTCTCTCTAGCCAGACTGAGAAGAAAAACTGGGCTCAGCCGAGAGGAATGGCCAAAGCTTTTACTTCTCAGTCTCTGACAAATAGACAGAAGATAACCCATGCTTGGATTCTCCAAGCAGTGCACAGGAGAACAACCTGTCTATTGTGCAGCAAGCAAAACCATGTAGCATGTCCTGGAGAAAAAAGAGGGTTGGCAAAGCAAGTGGCCACACTTAAGATAAGAAAGGATAAAGACGTATCAGATTATACAAATGAGATGTTACCAGCAAAACTGACAGAAGAGGTAAGTTTCCATAAGGAAGGTAATCAAATGAAAGAGCAAGTTCACTAGATGAAATTAAAAATGTTTGACATTGGATATCTATCACAGTATGGGAAATAAACAAGATGAGTGTGAACTCTTAGAACCAAAAGCAAATATGGTTTAATAGACATAATGGAATTCTGGCAAGCTGAGAATTCAGAAAAGGAATACTGTGACTGAAGTTGGTTCAAAAGGTATAGAAACTATGGAATGAGAAATGAGTTACATTGTAAGTATGATTACTCTAAATGATCTCAGTGTAGAGACTCTGGATTAAAATAAGTGAAGGAACAAATAAAAATTTGCTGGTATCCAACATGTATCCCAAATCAAAGATGAACAAAGTGTAGATTTTTAAAAAAAAAAACAACCTAAAGACATTAATTATCCTAAGTAACTGAAGACAGATCCCCCTCCGCCAAAAAAGCAATATAATTACACCACAATTTTCCACAGTGGCCTCCATCTTTTCGAATATCATTCCCACTTAGATGAGACTGGCTCTTAACTAGGTGGCATTCCAGAAAGACCTGAAAACATGGGTTTGCTGTCTGGCCTGCAAAATTGCTGTATTGTTAGGGAAATTGCATGCACTTTCCTGCAAATTATGTTTTATATTGTTTATTTTGTTGCATTGTTTTTTTAAAAAAATTGTATGCTGCTCGGATGAGATGGCTGGCTACTAAATAACAATATCTGGGAAGACTATAGAGCAGTGATGGCTAACCTTTTTGTCGCCACATGCCGAAAGTGTGTGTGAGTGCGACAGATGTGCATGAACATACATCCATAATGCAATGTGCACGCCCACCTGTGTCCCCGATGCCCCCCAGCTCCCACGCAGGTGTACACAACCCCACCCACCCCAGCCCTGCCCATGCCCCACCCCCAGCATGGCTGGCTGGGGAATTCTGAGAGTTGAAGTCCACAAGTCTTAAAGTGACCAAGGTTGGAGACTTCTGATTTAGGTACCATATTTTTCGGACTATAAGACGCACTGGTGGAGAGGAGGAGCTGACGTCGCAATGACACGACATGAGATCTTGGAGCTCCAAGATCACAGTTGATACTTTTGCCACTGGACGGTCCTTCTGGACCTAAACTGTCCCGAAGAGACGGTGACAGAGAAGAGTACGTTCTGCTGATCTCAGGGACACTGCAAAGTCCGATTGATCCAAGGGAATCCCTTTTTGCCAGCGACAGAAGCGCAGCCATTGAAGCTGCTGAAGTTGGGACAGCTCCGGAACAGGAGGAAAACAGAAAGAGAAAGTGTGTTCATCTGGTGAGAAATCGTATTAGACTACCTCCCAAAAAAATCAAAGCTAAATTAAATTTGAAAACAGAAGAGAACAAGCGGCAAAATTAAGCTACATTAGACAGTGTGTTATCCTTTTTTAAAATTTTCTTTTACGGATGGAACTTTTGCCAATGTTTCATTCTTTAAATTGAATGGATTAGTTTTTCTTCTACTACTTTTTATATTCTTTTTTTATACCTATGGATTAAA